TTCTGCTTTGGTCAGACCTCACCTGGAGTATTCTGTCCACTTCTGGGCACCTCAATTCAAGAAGCATGTTGACGACCTGGAACGTGTCCAGAGGAGGGCGACCAAAATGGCCAAAGGTCTGGAAGCCATGTCCTACGAGGAGCGGCTGAGGGAGCTGGGAATGTTTAGCCTTACGAAAAGAAGGTTGAGAGGGGGCACGATAGCCATGTTTATTTGAAAGGATGTCATGTCGAGGAAGGAACAGGTTTGTTTCCCAGGGCTCCAGAGACTGGGACACGGAGCAATGGTTTCAAACTACAGGAAAAGAGATTCCACCTGAATCTCAGGAAGAACTTCCTGACAGTCAGAGCTGTCCGGCAGTGGAATACAAGGCTGCCTCGGAGGGTGGTGGAGTCTCCTTCTTTGGAGGTTTTTAAGCAGAGGCTGGATGGCCGTCTGTCGGGAGTGTTCTGATGGATGTTCCCACATGGCAGGGGGTTGGCCTCTATCGACGGCCCCTGAGGTGTCTTCCAACTCTGTGGTTCTATGATTCCACCGAGGAGGGAAAAGGCCACAAGGAAAGGAAGGGGCCTGGGACTCACTCACACATATACACACAAAAACACACATCCTGTTTTACAAGCTGTTCCCTCAGACCTCAAGCAGTGTTTTCCTGTTTTCCTCTAGCAACTCAAAGGCTCCAAGTCTTAGACAAATATTTTTCTCGGTCCGTTCTCCTCCCTAACCATTCTCATAGTATCAGAGAGTTACTGAGTTGGAAGGGCCTTATAAAGCCGTCAAGTCCAACCCCCTGCTCAGACGCAAATCAAGATGAATCTGACCAAAGGTGGTGCAATTTTCTCTTGCCTCCCGCATTGCCAGCGCTCCCCACCTCCTGAGGTAACTGGCTCTATTGTTGTACTGCTTTAACAGTTATTCTCACCAGGTTTCAGTTATCCCTATCAAGTCGTTTCCTGGCATTGATGCCTTTGAACTGTGGTGCTGGAGGAGGCTCTTGAGAGTCCCCTGGACTGCAAGGAAATCAAACCTATCAATTCTGAAGGAAATCAACCCTGAGTGCTCACTGGAAGGACAGATGCTGAAGCTGAGGCTCCAGTACTTTGGCCATCTCATGAGAAGACTCCTTAGAAAAGACCTTGATGTTGGGAAAGTGTGAAGGCAAGACGAGAAAGGGGACGACAGAGGACGAGATGGTTGGACAGTGTCATCGAAGCAACCAAGATGAATTTGACACAACTACGGGTGGCAGTGTAAAACAGGAGGGCCTGGCGTGCTCTGGTCCATGGGGTCACGAAGAGTTGGACACGACTAAATGACTAGACGGCGAGCAGAGATGGTGTGGAAATATCCTGCTCGGCCTCCTCTGTATAACCACCTTTCAAGTCTTTGATGAGTGCTACCCTGTCTCCTCTCAAGGCTAAACAGGCCCGGCGCCTCTGAACTCACGCCAGTTTGTCTGAATTCTTCTTAAAGTGTGGTGTCCAGAAGTGGACACAGCACTCAAGAGGAGGCCTCACCAGGGCTGAATTGGGGGGGAAGAAGTGGACACAGCACTCAAGAGGAGGCCCCCCCCCTTGGGGGGGGCTCTTACCCCTTGGGATCTGGAGACTATACATCTAGAAAGCCGGTTGTGCATTTAACCTCCTGAACAAGGGTCTCCAGTTCTTCATGTTTGTTTCTCACATTCCTGGCACTCCTGTATAGATAGATACTGGAGATTTTGTGATTTGCGGCCTGCTTTCCTTCATTCTTATGAAGACTATTCCTGGGCCCCATAAGAGCTGCTGGGTCGGTTAGTCTTGTGGTGCATAAGCCTCCATCTGAGCCTCCTCTGTTCAAGCCAAACAGAGGGGCCTCTTCCCTGATGAGCCGCAGGGCAACAAGGCAGCCTCCGGCAGCCACTGCCTCCCTTCCTATTCCACTGACCCAAGTGCTTCTCCGGCAGGACAAGGCATGCGCACATATGAATGGCGTGGAGTACATGATGGCCCTGCTGGTGCCTTCCGACGTTTCATCTTTCATCTAGGTCAGTGGGGATTGTGACGCGGCTTGCTCAGAAGGGCCAGCCTTCCAAGCGTGCCAAGGGCCCCTTGACAGACTGGCTGGCAGCCACCAGCCCCCCCCCGTCATGAGCCTGGAGGTGTGGGGAGAGAGTCCGAAGAAGTGGTCCCCGACCCATGGGAGCTCACCCTGGGGCATTTTAGTCTCTAAAATGCCTGGGGGAGGGCTTGGGCGGCTGGGGGGGAGACTGACCCTGACCCTGCCCTCCCACTGCCGGCAGCTGAAGATCTGCCTCCTTGGGGAGCCTGTTCAAGAATCTTTTCAAGTAACTGAGGTGGGCAGTTTAGTGGGTTTTATAAAACATATTTTATACTTCCAATACAGCGCGTTTCCCCGAAAATAAGACAGGGTCTTACATTAATTTTTGTTCCAAAAAACACGTTAGGGCTTATTTTCAGGGGATGTTTTTTTTCATGTACAAACATCTATATTCAAATACAGTCATCTTCTTCTGATTGTTGTACAAGGGTGGAGGTTGGGGTTTCACTTAACTGGGGCTTATTTTGGGGGGAGGATTTATATTACGAGCATCCTGAAAATACCATACTATGGATTATTTTCAGGTTAGGTCTTATTTTCGGGGAAACTAATGTTTTTAGAGATTTGTATGTCACTGTTTTAAAGCCTTAATTATTTATTCTGTTGTGAGTCACTTGCCCCCCCCAGGAGAGGAAGAAGGCATAATAGAAAACATAGAAGTAATTTGCTACAGATTTTGCCCCCCCCCCCAAGTATCTCCCCTTGATGCTGCATTTGTGGCTCACTTGGTCTCTTGGGTCTTCTTTCTTTCTCCCTATACCCCCACCAGGCATTTAGCCAGGGAAGAGGGCGTTCGTTCTGCAGGGCAAGACACCCAGCCCAGAATAATCCATGGAGGGAATGTCCTCTGAGAAGGTGGGTGCGTATGCGTGTCAATCGAAGGAGCATCAAGGGCCCCTGCTGCCCTGCACCCCACCCCTGTGCAGAGAACAACACTCACTCACTCACTCACCCACCCACCCACCCACCCACTCACTCACTCACCAGAGGTAGGAGCTGGCCTGGGTCCATCGGGCATAAGCCTGTCTGTACATCAGGACCGCATAGAGGACCAGCAGAGGGAGCTGCTGATAGGTGTCCAGGTTGGGGGCTTGACCCTGGAGGCGCCGGTGAGTGTGGGCAAGGATGGCCTTGGGCTCCAGGGGCATCTCGCAGAAAAGGGTGGTGGCATTGCGGTGGACAGGCCCTATGGACATGAGAGGGGTGAGCATTCATTCCTGCAGGCGCTGCTGATGGTTTATTTTGGGGGGGAGCAGCACGGTCTAGGAAGGAAGAAGGGCTTTGGGCCTAATAGGTGGGGGAAGCTTTGTTGGGTTCCCCAGGAAGAGCTGGCAGAACAGGCATCCAGAAGTGGGGCTCTTCCCCATTTGGTGCTGGAGAAGGGCCATCTCTGCTGGAAGGGGATGGTGAAGGAAGGCTGGGAGCCCCCCCCCCCGCCGCCGCCGGCCTAGGTGTGGGCAGGCGGCATCCCTGCTCCTGCCCTGAGAGACACCCTCCCTTCAAGGGCAGGGCTCTACCTGGCACGGAGTGCGGGGCATCAGCTGCCGTGATGAGCCAGAGGCGGAATTTGGGGTGGATCTCGAGGCCCCTGCCTTCAGCGTTGCCTGTGTGAGGAGGAGGAGGAGGAGAAGAAGAGAGGATGTACTGTCGGAAGGAAGGAAGGAGGGAGGGAGGGAGATGGGGCAGGAAGGCTGTGCACGCAAGGGACAGCCACTATGCCTCACCTGGAGCCTTCCTCCTCCTCCTCACCTGTCACTGTATTCATCAGCGAATCCAGTTGCAAAAGGACATCTGGGTCCCAGCGCTCTTGGAGATGGCAGTTGCTGAGGACCAGCCACTTGCCTTTCTTGGCACAGAGGGGCAGCGTTCGCCACACGCGCCGCGCGGCATCAGGAGTGCCAAAGGAGATGACCACCACTTTCCCCTGCAGGGTACGGCCAGGGGGGGGAGGCGCAAGTCAGTCTCCAGGCAGAGCCACCTGATAGCACCAATATGCCCACCCCTCTCGTGCCCATCTCACCGCCCGGCCCCGCTGGGCCGCCATCTGCTGGATCCAGAAAAGTGGGTGCGTGAAGGAGCCGGAAGATTCCTCAAAGGCGGAAGTGAGGAAGATGATGGGTCTGTTGGTGCGGCTATAAAAGTATGGGTTGGTGGCCGCCATCTCCTCCGTGACGGACCAGCCCAGCAAGCAGGTGGTGAGGTCGGCCACCACCCTGCTCATGGTGCCGGGGCACAAGAGGCGCCACAGAATGGCACGCTGGAAGGGGCGGAGGTGGGCATGGCTGGGGCACAAGGCCGGGCCCACCACGGTGGAGGGCAGGCGGAAGTACTCCCGCCAGGCGGCGTCCCGCTCACTCAGCGAGGCCAGCAGCCCCTGGAATCCCGGGAGGCCCTCCAGGAAGGCGCACTGCTCCCAGGCCTCCGCGCTCACCCAGCTGGGGCAAGGCGGCGGCGGCGGCAGCCCCACCCGACCCGCCGCTCCCGCTGCCTGCAGCAGAGCCCTGGCCCCGGGTTCCTGCAGGCCCCCGCAGAAGACCAGCCACTCCAAGGGGAGGACGGCGCGGTCCCCCTGCAGCGTGGCCAGGGCCCCCAGGAAGAAGAGGAGCAGCCGGTCTGCCTCCCGCAGAGAGGGCAGCGCCTGGACCAGCAGCTGCTGGAGGACAGCCTTGCTCAGCTCCAGCAGCCGGGCCTCCAGGGACTGCTGCTTGCTGGTGTCCTGCTGGCGCTTCGTGGAGACCAGGGCCTGCCGCACGCGTCCGAGGCAGGCGTCGGTGGGGAAGCGGTAGAGCGGGTGGAGGCGGCACACCTGCTGGAGCGCCCGGTGGACCGCCGCGCCTGTGTGGGCCACGGGCCGGTACTTGTCACACAGGGCCGCTTGGTCCAGGTGCTGAGAGGCCATGTGCTGGTGGGTGGCCTGCAGGGCCTGGATTTGGGCCTGCAGGAGCCGCACCATGGGCATGAAGTTCTCCTCCTCGAGCAGAGAGCGCTGGGGCTGCGAGATCAGGTCCATCAGCTCCTCCTGCAAGGGAAAGGAAAGGAAAGGCAGACCACGGGCAGGGGAGGAGAGAGGTCACAGGTTCCCCCCCCCCTCCTCTGGGCAACGGAATGGGCAGGGTATGCCCGGGCACTTCCTCAAAAGAGGGGACCTGGACTGGGTTAAGTTGCTCACCTGCACGCAGACGGGGAAAACCGTGTGTGTGCAGCACCTCTTATATGGGGATGGGGGTGGGAGGGGGTGAGTGAGATGGACCGATGCCTACAATCCCCCTTCTGCGGGGGAGGATTTCCTTCCTTTGGGAGGGGCCTTGGGTGGGCCAGCTTCCAAGGGAGCCCACGTCTGGGAGCCGCCTAGGGAGAGGCCCAGGATGCTGGAGGATGCCGGTGCCTCTCACCTCCGTGGCCTCCAACTTGCCCTCGAGGTGCAGGACGGCCAGATGCAAGGCTTGCCGGTTCTTCAGGATCTCCCGGCGTTCGGCACGCAGCACCTCGCCCAGCAGCAGGTCCTCAATCGCCCTCTGGCTGAGGCTGAGGTCAATCACATTCAGGTTCTTCAGAATCTCATGGTCAACTTCTGCAAAGAGAAGGAAGGAAGGAGCTCATGATGAAGGGAGGGAGGGGGGAGGCAAGTGGAACCCCCTGCCCTTGGCTAGTCACCCCAATCTCCTTCCCTCCTGGTCTACTCAGGATGAGGCATGGCTGCCTGCCTTCCACCCATTGCAGACCTTTCCCCCCCCCGTCCACCCACCCCAGATCCCCAAGCAGCATCCCCCCCTCAAAATGCCTTTGCTGGAAGAACAAAGGGAAGAATGAACCTACACAGAGGGTCCTCTTCCCCCCCCCCAAGAAGACCACGTGCAAGGCATGGGGGCAGAAAGGGATCGGGCTGCTGAGAGACCAGGGCTGCTCCGAAAACGGAAGTTTTTGGGCCGTTGCTCCCTCACACCCTCAACCCGACTCCTTCTCTCAACAGGAGAAGGCGCCTCTGGGGCTTTCCGGGATTCTGCCTGTGTGCCTTGAGGGCCAGAATCCTGCTGAGGCTCGACAGCGCCCAGAGTCCAACGGAGCTGGCCATGGGGGAACCTCTGGGCCAAGAGTGACCTCCGCGAAGCGTGCCTGCTCTCCCTTGCACGGAGGCCTGGCCTGGGCCACCAGCAGAGGCCCGCAGGGCTCAACAGCTGAGCATTCCCCCTCGGCAGAAGCTCAATGGGGTCCAGGCTTTATCTTGAGTCTGGGGTCGCCCCACAAAACCCTAGCACCCCTTTGCTCAATTTACGCCTGCCATGGGGGCTGGCTTCCAAGTCTTGGCCCAGGATCCAGGATGGCACATGGACTCTGTCATTAACTTCTTCCCCCTCCCCCCGGCCATGCTTTCCTTCTCTCTTTTGTCTTTGGTCATCATGGCCACTCCAGGACCATCTCCCTGAACCTCCTCCACCCCACCCCCATTTTGGGGACAGCCTTTTGGAGACTATCACAGGCTGCTAGGGTTCCCTCTGCCTCGATTAATTTGGCTTCAGTGGGTCCTCCTGGGAGGGGGGAACTCTGTGCTGCCCCGTTGCTTTTTACTGTCCCTTTATCCCTCTTGTCTAATGTCAGCGCTTGATCGCACTGCCTACAGCCCCACCCCTCCTGAGCTCTTGGGAGGACCTTCCACTCTATCACAGCACAAATCTATTCTCCCAGTAATGCAGAAAATCTGCCAACAGGTCCCCTTCCTGCTGCTGAGGGGGCTTTCTCAGCTGCAACTTCTGCCTCCCCTGACGGACCCTGCAGAATCAATGCCGCCTTCAAGAAACCTAAGAGTCAGATCTGCAAGCTGCCCCAGCACACACGTGTTTGCCCACAAAGATGCCACCAGTGTCTCCTGAAAATCGAAACAAGAGGCAAAGAAATCAAGAGGATGAGCGAGGGAGCCAGGTAGTCCAGGACCCAGAGCCAGGAGCAGAGAGGTGGCCTGCAGGAAACCAATCCGTGTCTGGCTTCCCAGCAGGTGTGCAGCAAAAGTGGAGGCCAAGGCAAGGAGAGGGAGCTGCAGCTGGTCTCGGCCTCTGAACCCCGAGGCTCCCACTGGCAGCCGAGGGTGGCGTGCTTTGGGGACCAGGGCCTTGGGCACCCGACCTTACCTGCCACCAAAGCCTCGAGAGGCAGCTCCGTGGAAAGATACATCTGGAAAGAGGGCGGCACCGACACATCGCCCTCGGACTCGGAGCGAAGCACTGTCCCTTCGGGCTCCTCGAAGGATCCTTTTTGCATCAGCTGCTGGAGACTCGGGCACCACGGGACGTTTTTTTCAAAGTTGGTCAGCAGCACAGGGGAGTCTGCCAGGAGGCAATGCGCAGGGGGGGGGCTTCTTGGG